CGGTAGACATGTATTTTGTGGAATGGAGCAAGTGAACGGGGTTCGGACGCAACTAGATCACCAGCCAAATGTTACATATGGACTCATTTAATGAAGCCATCCCAACTATCTGGTCAGTGAACAACCTGATTGCCCATCAGATGAAGGAAATACGATCTGATTCCTTGGTTTGCCATATGATACTTGGCGGATGAAATCAGCATGGACGAAGGCATGATGTGCTATATTCCACAGTTTCCATGAGCTATTGCTTTGGTTGGGGCTATAACTGGGAAAAATGGGATCGACAGTTGTTTTGTGCCGAAGAAACTGTGACGCACTTAGTTGCGAATGGGACCAGAAGCGAAGTTTATCTGGAAGGTACTAGTTCCTCATACTTTGACCATCGGAACCTCCAAACACCGTTTTGCAATCCTGCTACTCATGAGACGTTTTCTTACCCTTACCTCGGTTTTATGCGTGGACAGACCTAAGCTTAACCGCGTACACATGAGAAGACAATTACTTCTCGAAGTGTGATGAGACGTGTTTCGGAGAGGGTGTTAGTGCGTGCACGACTTCACTCCGAGTAGAACAGCCACTCCCCAATGACGGCAAATCTGTCTACGCATCGGAACCAGGCTGAAGGACTATGTGCATATGCACGCTTGGCTGCGCTGTTTCTTCTGTTCTCACAGCCCTCCAGCTGTGAACGTGATGGCGCATGCAAATACTATCGCGCGTCCGTTTATGCGTTTATGTACAAACATACACACACACACCAATCCACCTCCATCCTGCTAGCTCAGTGGAACCGTCATGACCGCATCAGACAGCCGGCAACTCCGCAGGATACCCATCAGACGAAAGCAGTCGGTTTCCGATGCCAACTACCGGAGGCAAAGGTGCGTCTGTTGATCGATCAGGCCTGTCAGGTTGGGTGTGTATCCGTGTATGTGAGGTGGAAGCTTGTTTCTTGGCGTTTGAAACTGGCGTGTGAAACTGATGCAGTGAAGGCTATCCGATAGCAGACAGACCACCATATATGATGCATGACTTACACACCATACCTCATTTACGAATTGGATATCGCCCCAGACACTTGACTCGCACTCCTCCACCTAGTCCACATGGACTACGTATGACGTGTATCAGGACGCCTCAGGGAACATCATCAAATGCGACCCGGTCGTCGGGTAAAAGAAATGTGTATTGTTGCAGTCGCTGTTTTCTCAGGTGAACCGAACCACTCTATCATCCCGGTAGACCTTCGCACGATTCATGGCATACCCATGAGCCCAATATCTGTAGTCGCAAGAGTTATTTCGATTCGTCGTGGAGATGTTGAAACTCGAAAGGAACCCGGACCGACGTTAGTCCCATTGCGATCTGTCAAACAAGTGATGTCGCATTATACGTTGTTGTTATTGGCCTCTTCACCTTTCACGGAATCCAATTCCAATCTAGGCGATAGCACCTACATATAGATTTTGTATCATGAAACACTAAAGCGGCCTCTGACAGCAAAAAAGGGATCTTTTCCAGTTAAGTCCCGCCACTAATGCAAAAAGAGCACGCGCAAAAAGTTAAGCCCCGCCACTAAGGCAAAAAGGGTACACCTGAAAAGTCAAGCCCCACCGATAGTGCAAAAAGGGCACGCGTGAAAAGTTGAGCCCCGCCACTGTTTGCCAGCTCCAGTGACATGAACTTTCTGACGCTTTCGAAGGTCGTTGATGACAAGGAAACAGCAATACGTTTTTTGCAAAGCCATGGAGTGATTCATCATCAACGTTTATGCAGACGAGGACACCAAATGACACTTTCAACTGTTTCTGACAGGTGGAGGTGTGATGCCCGACAGTGTCGGCAAGAAATCGGTCTTCGAAAGGGAACTTGGCTGGAGTGGTCTAGGATGAATTTCAGGACAAGAATCCTATTCATTTATTGCTGGTCCAAAAATCTGACAACAATCAAATTCTGCTCAGAGGAGTTATCTATTGGCCACGCGACCGCTGTCGACTGGAAGAACTTTCTGCGTGAAATTTGCGCCTGGCAGCTTTTGCAGACTCCAACGATTGTCGGCGGCCCAGGTCTACATGTCGAGATCGATGAAACCCTAATATCACGTCGTAAAAACTATGCAGGGCGAGTCCTTCCCCAGCAGTGGATTTTCGGAGGGATTTGCCGGGAGACTAAAGAAGTGTTCTTGTATGCAGTGCCAGATCGAACTGCGGCCACTCTGCTGGACACAATCCAGGCCTGCATCGCTCCCGGCTCAATTATCATTTCCGATATGTGGGCATCATACCAATGCACTGAATCGATGATTGGCATGAGTTATACTCATCAAACGGTTAATCATACCGAAAACTTTGTGGATCCAACGACTGTAGCTCACACACAAACCATCGAATCTCTCTGGCACATTTACAAGATGCAGAATAAGCGCCAATGCGGCACACACCGATCTTTAGTGGACAGCTACCTGTGTGAGTTCGTTTGGAGGCAAAGACACCGAAAAATGGACTTTCATGCAAATTATTAATGACTTGTCTCAATTTCACCCTCTTCAATAGAGAGTAAAAGTTCAAGTTCCATATCCTCCCTTTTCATAATCTTTTTTGGGTGGCGGGGCTTAACTGGAAAAGATCCCAAAAAAGTATAAGCACTTCTGAACATCGAGGGAATAGTATCGAAGTGAAATTTTGGAAAGACCACTAGTTTTTATTGTGTATTCTGATCGACAAATCGGTATCATGCGAAGTTATTGCAATTTGACACCGCTTGGATCAGTATGCGACCGCAGAATTCTATTGGGTGATTCGGCACCAAGGCATTCTAAGCCCGTTTCTCGTGGAAACCTGGTGTGCGTTGAGATAAAAGCTTGGTGACCTCTCGCTACGGGCGGATTACTTTGTTTTGCTCAGCGTGTTGGTGGAACAACCGGTCGCAAAATTGTTATCTGCATGATCCATGAAAATTTAATGCCGAGAATTTCTTCTCCTTGAGGCCTCTTTTGATTACATCAGAACATACTTTCCAGTTATACTGATGGTGGATCTTTCATTCCAACTCGCGATTCTTAGGATGAGGGACAAGTATGAATAGATTCGCCTCCCAATTGCTCTGGAATCCACACCGAGTGTCTACACTTTGAACAACCACTTGTTCGGCAGTGATATTCGTGGGACTAATGATATCTCAAGCGAAACAATGAGACAGATCGCATCGGCCTCAATCACCATTCCGAATTGGACGAATGTTAACGCTGTTCGTCCAACGCTTCAAGCTCCTCGGGCTGCCACAGGCGTTATTCGTAGGTAGCTGGGTCAGTTAGCTTCTGTAAAGGCCGAACACCTATCGAGTAATCCCTGGTTTAAGATTTTGAATGGGGGGCGTACTCGGTCAGCGTGCCCTCTCGGGGACGAATAACAACGAATCTGCGCTACTTATGTGACGCCATCATTGGTGGAGCAATGTTAAAACACTCGAACCGGCTACTTCTGTGTTGTATCTACTGAAGCGCTGCGAGATGAGGAAGGTTGAGTGAACTAATCGTACAAATTATCAGACATTTCGCATACTCTCTCCATTTAGTGCAATTTATCGGAGCTTTAGGTAGCGTGACAGCATCGACGAGTTCGCTCAGACACACGCTTGCAACCATCCCATCCGTTAAGCACAAAGGCGGTGGCGCCACCACTCCGGCGTGATCGTGTTGCGGCTTGAGTCGCATGATTCTGGTTTTCGTGTCTCCGTTTCGGTGCGGGTAACCGCTCACATCCGCAATTCGCATGGCTTTGTATGCACGTGCGGTCGGTCATGCATCGATTGATTTGAGCGGCTAGTCTCCGTTCATATTTTGCATGTAGTGTGTGTGTTTCTTTGCGTGTCATTGGGCTATGCCCGTCACCATTCACATTCGGCTTTGTGGGTGTGTGCTAACGCATCGTTTGAGATGACGGCAGTTACTCGTTCCGGGGGGGGGGGGGGGAGGTAAAGCCAGGCGACCAGGCCAGTTTGCACCGGCCCGTTTGTTGTCAGGCCGTGTTATCGCTGCGCCGATCGTCGGTACGAGCGCTGTCCTCATTCGGTTCGTTCGACCAAGCTTTGTGCCTGTGTGCATACGCGGGAGGAAACCGAGCGTTCGCGTTTATCTCCTTCTCCCAGCATCTGTGACCGTGCCTCTTTTCCCCTCACACATGCACGGATGCACGTGCGCACACACCCGAACGTCGTTCGTGAATGACACGTGTCGGTACATCCACGACAGCGGGAACTCGAGACCGAAGCTAAGGTGGCCGAAGGCCAGGACCACGTGCATTTGTCCGACCAGTTTCCCGCCAGTGAAGATACGCACAAAGTGGGCTATCTTTCGGTTTGTGTGACTAAAAGCATCCACCAGATGCGTTTGCCTTTCAGCTCCACTTTGATTCGGGCTGGCTATAGCTCATGTGGCCATTTACCTTGTTTCGGCGGCAAGAACACGGTTAATGTCGACGCTCACAAACGGTTCGGGCAACCACTGTACAGCCTGAAACCTAATAGTACTACAATGACCACAGTTTGTTTCAAAAACATTGAAACATGAACAAAACATTCGTCTAAACTATTTTAAGATAGCATGGAGCAGTTCTGCGTTACCCACTCCCCAAGTGTTATGTACAAACTGCCGGTCTATCATTCAGGTGCTATCTTGATAACAGCGGAAAAACACATTATATATTTACTTGCTCTGTTCGGCCTGTTTCACAGCCCCGCCTCTACAATCGGCTTCGTCCAGTCTCAAAACTCTCTTCTAGCTAAACAACCGCGTTACTACCTAATCGGTCTTGCTCTTGCGCTGTGAATAATGCGTACTTGTAAGCAAGCATTCACGCGAGCCGTTGGCGAACAAATTTAACGTACTGATGGACGATGTATTATATAGTTCGCGTATGCTCTCCGTTCTCTTATTATTTTGTTATCATAGTAAAGTAACTGGCCTACTAAAAGGTTGCTCACATTTCTGATTGCCACAGGCCGATGCGACGGACAGAGCTACATGAGCGGACAGCCTGGGCCAAACGCACCACAACAAGGTAACTCTCCGCGAATCACTCCATACCTTCACTCATCTGGGACCCCACTCTCTCTGAATCAGTATCAGCGATATCATCCAGCTGAGATGACCACGTATCCACACCCGGGGATTCATGTGGAGACCAGTGAGCATAGTTTCCATACTGGCAGTGGCTTCGGTCACCACAACGGCTCCTACATGGACCAACCGGATCCGTACCAATTATACCAACAACAACAACTGCGACAGTCTGCTCATCCGCATCACTCCCTGCAAAGATCGATGGAACATATACAACCTCAAACCGCAACTCATCTGGCTCACTCTATCCACGAAGTGTCTGGGCTTGCTGCTGCGGAAGCGGCAGCAGCTGCTGCCTACGCCTATCATCAATACCATCAACAACACGCGCAACGGCATGGACAGATGTCTGCTGCACATTCGCACTACCAGAATTTGCTGAATGCTAACCATCGTGTCTACTACTCAAATCCACTGGAGGAACAATTTTCGCCCCGTGACTTGGCACTGTATACGGCCCATACGAACAGGCGGGATCCGAAATCGGCTTATTTGGCTGAGACATATCGGGGATCTCAGGCAGCTTCTGAACGTTTCCTATTTTAACCAAATGAAATAGTAGGCAGTATGTTTCGGTTCTTATGATGCATTCAATATGACTCCTATGCCCGTAGCCCACTGTGAATCCTGCGCACAGCGCCAGATTTCTTCGACCTTTATCGCTGATCACGTTCCCTCTACTTGCTTATCCGGTCGTTGCTCCCGGTCATGTTCTTCCATATGAACCCTGAGCGCAGCCAGGAGAAGGCGCAAGTAAATGGTCGGCAGTGCAATAATATGGTTTCTTTATCATCAAACACTTCCAACGGGCCGCACAAAAGCTCTACCGGAATTTTACACATGTATGTATAATACAAATACGTAATGAATGAGCTGTGAACGTTTTAAATTACTACTTTTAAAGAGATAAGCATTGAAGCTTGCATATTATGGTCCGCTTTTTGCTCACTGTTTATAGTGAAAACAAGTATGTTCATTTGATTCGAGTATCTTTGACTTCATTCATCTTTTCCCAAAACAAATCGACCTTTGTACAGACAGCATTTCTGTGGTCGTTTTTATGACCGCATCGCGCCACGCGCAGTATACTGTTGGCTGTTTGTTTAATCACTCGCTTATTTCTTCGACTTTTCAATGGCTAACCGCTGTTTTTATGACTATTTCGATCCCACTTGTGAAGACTCGACAATCCGGAACACAAGCGGGTAGTTCTACCTTACAAGTTCGTGTGCGCATGCCGTCGGGCCGAATTGCCCAGACTCGGTTGTGCACAAACAGGACATCTACGAAACACCAGCTTGTCTAATTTGAAGCTCGGCTTCTGCTTTCCCGTCCCCACATGTGCTCCTCAAAGGTGTAACGGATTCGCCATCCCTCCATTGTTTTCTATCATGACGTCGTCAATTGTCGTCTCACCACCCTTCCTCCTCATTTCTGCATGCCGATGCATCCTATTCGTTACTTGTATTACATAAAGATACTATATGACAAAAAAAGAAAGTGTTCTGTTGTATGACCGGTTCACTTCGCGCATATTGCAAGTATTCGGCGGAGAAACCAAGAACTGTCGTCAAGAGACCGGAAATCGACGTTCGCAATATGCCGATCCACCTTCATCGTACTCAGCTCGAGTGACCAAGTATGACGTAAAATCGTCTTTCGTTTGAGCTAACAATGATCCGCCTTCCCAAGCGTAGGTTCGGGGGCTGAAATTATAGAGGTAGCAGATGAAATGGCCGATTCGAGTCAAAACACAATTGATACGTCTCATAGCAGAAACTGACTAAAGAGAAAGCCTTGTTAGTTAGAAAGGGTTAAAATTCCAGCGCCATAAAAGTGGTGCTATTGACGCAGCGAGCTAAACAGTAAGGTTCCAATATCGACAACTAACCACCCTGCTAACATCTTCCACTAACTCGACCGCTGTGTGAAATATTATTATTAAAGGATCATTTTTCCCTATTCCTACCAAACCCTGCAACCTGACATGGTTTTTGCGCCGATCCACCTATGTCGGAGGGTTGATTTTACTCCCCCCCTTCTAGTTTTGTGTTAGTGGTCTTTCATGCCCTATTACGGCGATAATACGGTGTGTGCAAAAACTGTGGGTCGACGGAAATTTGTTGCGATCGATATCCCGCAGGTGTCAAGTACTCGTGGGGCTTGTTTAGATCGGCAGCAGCTATTGCCAGTTCAGACAGTGATGAAAATGTTGTATGGCTCGGATTAGATTATTCGTTTACTGGAGGTTCGAATCGAGTCTCCCAGCGCGCGTATAAAATGACAGGCGGCGTCCCAGTGGACGACTACGATGCAATTCAGGTGATTCGAGTGAAAACTGAAAAAAGTGAAACAACGCGTCTGATTGATTACGACGAGCCACCAAGCAAAGAGCACCTGTTGTGAGGCCCGCATGTCTCAAAATCTTGAGTGTCTATCTTGATTTTTGCGTCATGGGTCACGCGCTGTTAACGAGTCTCACCAAAGTGGATATAATGGAACGGAAATGAGGGTTCAACATTGACGGGTTTTATTGGGAGGCGATTGAAATGACAGCTGGCACGCAGATAGGACTAGAAGCAATGCGGAATTCCACGCGTGTTTGAAAAACGGAAATTCAACGACCGACGCTACATATATACAGGGTAGTGCTAATGATCCTTTAAGAGAATCATCGAATCGATCAGTTCAGCTGGTCTTGACCACCGTCACTAGCTAATTGCATCGACCACTCAGAGTAGGACACGACGACTTCATTCAGGGTAAAATCCCGCATGCTAAATCACTAAAATGACGGACTAAAATAATGGGAGTGAAAATAGCGAGGGCAGAAGTCGCAGCTGGGGAGGGCATGGCTGCGCGCTTCTTCGGTGACATGGTGTCGCCCGATCGCGGCAATAATTTGTGCTGCCAAAGGGGTAACATTGAAAATTTGTGAAACATAGTGGAAGCCGAAGCAGGAGGCGATATGCTACAAAGCGAAGGCACTTACTTGTTCGGCATAAAGATATTGACAGCGAGATCATCGGGTGGTAAACAACGCAGATCGACCTTCCTGGAAAATAGAAAAAAAACACCAAACAACGTCGCTAAGAGCCGAAATTAGCATAAGATGCATCATGCAAGGTGAACATGTTACACAGATGTGCGACGTTTGAGTGGACAAGTTGGTTGTACCCGAATCACCGTCCGTTAGATACTGCTTTTGCTTCGGATTACTGTTATGAGTGCTTTTCCTGTGTGAATTATGCATAAATACTTTTCTTTTGGTGCATTTTCCAATCTATGAAAATTTGGTGGATATTCTTTGGCTAATTCCGGACATCTCATTATTTAGCCCAACTGCTGTCTGTGTCAGCCATCTTGGATTTGCTCTACATTGTGATGCCGTCTCAAGCTATTTGTGATTAGTGTAAGAAAATTGTGGGACTTAAGGCTCATGCACTTCGGCTGCGATGTTTTGTTCCATATATCGCGCATTGCCTTATTTGTTAACGTGTTTCGAAAATCCCTCAACCTCAGACATTGGGTTTTCCAAGTCATAAGTGATAAATGTCCCGGTGCAAGATACCAGAATACACAGCGACCGCCAACGACTACAGGAAAACCTCTCTTACAGGCAGAAACAAATCATCCACCAGGTGGGGTCAAACACCCACGTGAAAGTACCTCTGTCATCTCACCTTCCTCTGTCACTCCGCGATCTGCGCCACCACCAGCGTCTTCGACCCCGGCTGAGCCTCAGGTTCAATGTTCCCTACCGATTGAAGACTCAGACTCCGAAACTAGGAAATGCCGCTTCACTGATCCGTCCGTGAATTTCTCAGAGCCTATCTGTGAAACTCAGAACACCGAAGATCCATGGACCACAAAAGCGCAAGAGGCCACGTAATTGAGTTCAGACGTCCCATGCTGATGAACAACAACAACAACAACCCAAACCGGTAAGTGCCTCTAGTCCTGCTCTCACAGCTTCATTACCGATTTCGCTGAGGCATCATAATCTCATGGTCTACCAAGCACCATTCAAAAGATGAAAACCCTCAGATACGTTATGATCACGATGTGGAGTTCTCCTAGGGGCTTATCACCTCTTCATTATACGTGTTACCTAGAGGTGTAACGCACCTCAGCTACTGTGACGCAATACACAAAAAAAGAAAATAAATACAACAGTTGCATGCCAGCTGAGCTACCAGCAACAAATTGGCATGGCTCCGGAAAGCCGGCAACAAGAAAAATAATTATGTAAAGTTATATGCTACGAAATGAGATCGTGGTTGAAGGGGGAGGCTAAAAGGGATGGGGAGGGACAAAGAAACTCACAGCAGGAACGCCACTCAGGTCGGCTCCTAGCCATATCAGCAAGTGTGTCCAACCAAACGTGTTCATCGTCTTTTCGACCCCAACCAGGGATCCGTGAAGCTCCAACCGAGGTCAGCTCCGAAGTGAGGACCTTCATTCCTCTCGACCAAGTCATCGCTTGGTCACTTCTTTTCTCCCATCCACACCCCCGGTGAGCAAACAACGCACGTCGCAGAATTCGGTGGGCTAGCATGCGCAACACGTGACCGAGCCATCGAAGCCTGGTGTGTAAAATGACGGTGCTGAGCGGTTCAGTTCCTTTTGCTGTGCCGTAAATAAGGCGTCGAACACGCTCGTTGCTTCCGCTGTGTTCCCATCAGATGTGAGCCAAACTGCGAAGGCACCGATGGTCGAACGTAATTAGCCTCTTCATGTCCGCTGATCTAAGGGGCCAGGTTTCGCAACCGTACAGTAGGGTCGAACGTACCGCTGCATTATACACTCTACCATTCAGGGCGAGAGTGATGTCGCGCCGCCGCCAGAAACACATCGAGCTTTTGATATTCGGTTCGTGATCTCATCTTCAATCCCACGGACGCTGATACAACTTCCCAGGTAGTTGAATTTCTGAACGACTTCTAGCTGGTCCCCACCAAGGGTCAGCCTACGAGGCAATCCCTACCAATCCTGGAGGAAAGCTTTGCACTTCGATGATGCAAAGCAACGCCCGAAGCGGCTGATAGGCAGTGCTAATCTGTCCAGTGCAGCTTGGCACGTCTAGAAGCTGCCACAGATAAGGGCAATGTCGTCTGCATACTCCAAGTCAAGTAGTTGTTCTCCTGGGAGTAGCTCCACGCCTTCTAAGTCGTGTCCTGTAAATGCAGTCTCAATGACTTCGTCAACAGGGAAGTTGAAGAGAAAAGGTGACAACGGGCATCATTATTCCACACCGCTGGAGATATTGAAGGGTGGCGACAGCTTGCCGTAAGCCCTCACTCTGCCCGTGCTGCGCGCGTATAATGCTCGGATAATATTTACATATTTCTCAGGCGCACCTTTCCTGAGTAGACAGTTCCAAAGGGCACATCGATCAACCGAATCGAAGGCCGCCAATATGTGTGACGGTGCTCCAACAACGGACCCAAAGTGAAGATGTGGTCAATGCAGCCACGACCTCGAGGAAACCCGGCTTGCTCCTCACGAATCTGGCTTTCACGAGTGCCAGTCAGTCTGTGAAGGATGACAGAGGCAAGCAATTTGGAGGCGATCAGACTGGTCCCTCTACAGTTGCCGCATTCCGAACGCGAGCCTCCTTTGAAAATGGGAACAATAAAGGAGCGACTCCAGCCGGTTGGGACAGTTTTCTGCTCCCACAGTTTCACTAATAATTCATGTAAATCATAAACAAGAGCAGGTCCCCCGAATTTGAAGAGGGCTGGTTGAAGATCATCTGGTCCCGCGGCTTTTTTTAACTTCAACAGTCCGATCTCACGTTCCACTTCTGAGCGAGAGGGCGGATCCAAAGGGACAGCCCAGGAAGAAGGGCGATCACTGGCTGGTGAGGAATCGAACAATTCCGGTCTATTAAATTGTTTTTCGAAATGCTCAGCCCGACGCTCTAAAAGTTTTGACAAATTGGGGATAGGCTGTCCACTCTCGTCACAATTTGTTTCACTACCACCAAGATTCACGGTATCTCTTCAGGCTAGCATGGAGTTTTGCCCGGAGCTTTTTGCGAGTTTCATTGTGTTTGCTTCCAGCCGGAATATGCGGGGAGCACCGATAAGTTCCAGAGACCGCGAAGAAATCCAATGTCCATGTTGGCTGTTAGACTTACCACATGAAGATTTGCGTGCTGATGGTAAAGTCTGGTGAACATGCGACCACTGACCTTCAATTGTCTCCAGTGAGCGCTGACTCAACTCGGATATCAGAGTACTTTGATAGGCATTCAGAACAACTGGCTTTGTCAGTTGGCTGGTGTCAATGCGCTTACAACGTCGTCGTGGGCGTCCGCCGAAACGCATCCGCATGTCAGCACATACAAGTGCATGATCGGTGTCCACACATGTGCTCCAAATCGAGCGACAGTTCTGGATGCACCCACTGCAGCGGTAACTGATTACAATGTCATCGATCTGCGTCCAAGGTTGGTGGGCGCCATGTCACCCTCCGGCGGGTGCTGTGTCGGAAATTAGTGCTCGCAAGAAATAAGCGAGCACCCTCACACAAATGAAGTAACCACTCACCGTTATCATTACGGGAACCTACACAATGCTGGCCACCCATATGCATTTCATCAGTGGACAACTTTCCAACTTGTGCGTTCAGATCCCCAGCCAGCACAACAGTGTCCGTGCTTCTTCTGTGGCGAATAGAAGTCGTCTCTTACCGAATCATCGCTACAATTTGTGGGCAGCGATGATGGATAGAAACCTATTAGTCCCGCGCGACTTCCAGGCTTTGAACGAGCCTACCGATCGGACCGCACACAACCGGCTACTGATCAGAATCCAATCAACCAGAACAGCTTCAGCCCGGGGACTCAGAGCAATGCCAACACCAGCTTGGCCGGTGCTCGAAGCTGCATCGTCACCGGATAGGCGCAATAAGAAAATATTGCTAGTGTTACCTGAAGGGGATCGCAAAGTGAGCACAGAGGTCGAGTCTTGCAGGCGGGTCTCTGGTATGCAGCAGATATCGATCGAGAGGGTCTCTGTTCGGACAAGTGCTGCCTGTTGACCGATCTGTAGCAGTGTTGTTACGTTGAGGCATGTCAGTCTGAAGGAGGATCGAGGGCTCCAAATAAAAACCGATGAACTAGGGTGGATCGCTTGGTTAGACATGGGATTGTCGACAGGACAGGACTGACGCTCCGCGTTATCATGTGAGTTGAAACTAGAAAATAAACGCCTAGCAAAGCATGTTACGGGAGGGCCAAGAATCGGTAGGTTGAAAACTGGAACGGGACGATTAAAGAAGGAAGAACGTAAGAGTGGGAATAAGAAGGCGAGAAGGCTTGAGCAGTAGCATCCAAGCCCCTATCCACCCTGCACGATGCAGCAGGCAGGGCACCTTTGATTATCCTCTGCGGTGGACAGAGCATCAGGAATTTGTTTGAAGAAAGATTCATTGTATTGCGTGGACAGGATACTGTCAGATTGCCCAGGCCTAGACAGGAGAATGATTAGAGTTCTCAACCAAAGCCTTTAGTTCAAAGAAGCTGTCCGCAAGGCAGCGGGTTTGGCGTTGGGCTGCAAGGAGTCCGTTTTAATGAATAAGGAGCCACCTCATTCCAACCCCCAACTTAGAGGACCAGGAGGCTGAGTTTGTCTGGCCTCTAACCATTGACCAATCTAGTATGAGTGGCTCTGAAGGTGCAAAAGCACCACCAAGCATAGCTCAATGGATCACTGAGGCACATAAAACATCGCACCACGGTAAGGTCCAGCCTCATTGCGATGGCTTATCGACTCTTGGATGTAGGTGAAGACAGTGTGAAGGTTAAACAAGTAGTTCGACTTGGCCGGAAAACTAACCAGTCATGTCGACCTCTGAGAATCACCTTTGCAAATCACAGTATGCCGCAGCTCATACTGTCTCGTCTGTCAAGGCTGAAAGGCATGAAGCTTCACATCCGCCGAGACTTGGAACCTGAAGACAGGGATCGTTTGAGGACTGCGGTCATTGAGCTCAAACGCCGTAGGGAAGACTGACTTATAAGTCGTAAATTTCCGGGTGGTCAGTAAGGGTGTACAAACCCGTATCAACCGGTTGCTGAACCTCCAGGCACGTCGTGCAGTACTTCCCAGGACCTCCGTGTGGCATTTGCCAACGTGTGCAGCCTAATGAACAAACGTGACGAACCGTGCCGCTTCGCTGTCTCGGAGCGGTCGGACATTTTAGGACTTGCAGAGACTTGAGTGAACTCCGACGTCATACCCTAAGTAGTCGCCTTGTCAATATACTTGTTTCCGATGGGACCGAAAATCAAGGTCTCACGGTGGTGTTCTGTTGTACATCAAATCGTCACTATCTGACCAACTTATCAGAACCTGTCGAAGCGAGCAACTGTGGTGCACAATCCGCCTCAGACGCGCAGAACTAATAGTGGGGGTTGTCTACCGTAGCCCATTAAACTGTTGTCGCGATTTTCTACCACATATACAGAAGCACATGAGTCGCGCTCAATTCTTACTAATGGGGGATCTAGATTTACCTAAGATATCCTGGCCAGATGTTCGGCTTCCTTCCGGTCATCGCGAAGTTGAGGTTCCATTCGCTCAACTGAGTATTGAAATCGGGGCAACGCTACATGTCATCCAACCGACGCGCATAACTTCGCACTCGGCATCTTGTCTGGACCTAATGTTTACGAGTTGCGAGCAGAATCTGAAAGAGATCAGAGACCTAGAGCCTATGGCGAACAGTGACCACTACTCCATTGTGGCAAGCATAGAACTGCCTTTACCGTATTACAATTAACGGAAGACGACATTCAAGTATAAGAAGACGGACTTCAACGGGATCGTCCAAACCGCAAGTCAGACTGATTGGACACTACCACGGGATGCGTCGCTTGAAGCCTGTTGGTCATTAATGAAGGGGAAGCTTAACTCGCTGTGTACTCGGTTCGTTCCTCTGTAGTATTTAAAAGTCGGACTTGCCAAACCGCATCTATTTGGTACGGAATATAGACAGTTAGCTCGACAGCGTCGCAAACTTTGGCCTAGATACATCACCTCGGGTTGTGATGAAGATTATACGGTGTACAAGAAACAGCGTAACATATGTAACGCCGCAAAGATCAAGAAACGCCGGCAGTTTGAAGAGGAGCTAGCAGCCTCGGCCACAACCGCTGCCAAGAGAATATTT